AAATCCAAGCAATCCGTCCCTATTGCTAGAGAAATCCGAGCAATCCGTCCCTATTGCTAGAGCAATCCAAGCAATCCGTCCTTATTGCTAGAGAAATCCAAGCAATCCGTCCTTATTGCTAGAGAAATCCAAGCAATCCGTCACTATTGCTAGAGCAATCCGAGCAATCCGTCCTTATTGCTAGAGAAATCCAAGCAATCCGTCCTTATTGCTAGAGAAATCCAAGCAATCCGTCCCTATTGCTAGAGAAATCCGAGCAATCCGTCCTTATTGCTAGAGCAATCCGAGCAATCCGTCCTTATTGCTAGAGCAACCCGAGCAATCCGTCCTTATTGCTAGAGCAATCCAAGCAATCCGTTCCTGAGTGCTAGAGCAATCCGAGCAACCCGTCCCACGTGCTAGAGAAATCCCAGCAATCCAAGTTTATCCTTTGGCTATGATGAGTCAGGGCCATTTGGGAATCTGGTGATTCATTGCCAATATTCTGAGCCAATTCCAACTCCTTTTAACATCGACCCCTGGAATCAAAAACCCAGCTACGACTTATCTATCAAGGACAAGTGTGCAAGCTGCAAATCCGCTCTGTTCCGAAAATTCGTCACACATTTTGGCGCCCGAACAGGGACTCCGTGAGTCATCGATTCGTAGAAAAAGAATATCGAAAATACCTTGGGAAACAATTCGAATCTCTCGTTGGAAATGACGAAAGACAAATTGGACAACAATGTTTTTCCTCCGCTCACTGCAAAGGAATCCACGGCTGACCTCATAGCGGCAGTTTTTTCCCCCGGAAAAAACAATGAAGTAACCCAAGTTGAAACCTCAACTACTCAGGGGATTCCTGCCACTCTTAGCCAGGCTAGTCAACAGGACCAGCGTGTAAGTTGGGTTTATCAATTGTCAAAGTCTCAAATTCAAGCTGAGCTGGAATCACGAAATTTAGACGCAAGTGGGAAGATGCAAGAGTTAAGAAGTCGCCTCGTCGAGCACATTCGAACTCCTGGTGTTACTCCAATGACGGAGAAAAATCAGTTACTTTTCCCCCCAGTGGACACGGTTGAAGGGGGGGCTTCAAACTCAAATCTGGACTCCAGCCTACTCAACAATATCATGATGATCGTTGGTTTACCCCCAAATTCTGAGGTCAACACCTTAAGAATGAGGCTCGCAGACCTCGCTGAGAAAGAAAGGTTTGTTCAAAAGGCATCAACATCCAACGCCTTTCCCGAACTTCAAAGATTCGTCAAGGAAAGATCACCGCAAGAGTTGAAAATAAACCATCCTCCGTTTCCGGTGAAATTGAATTCAAACAACCAACCTCCCACGGATACGGTTAGTCTCTGCAATCAAGTAAGAAAGTGGAACATTCGTTTCGATGTATACACGGACCCCGTCTCATTTATGGAACGACTAAATGAACTAGTGGAAGCTTACGATATACCCCTAAATCGCATACTACAAGCGATGCCAGAAATCTTCAAAGGGAATGCCCTCCTCTGGTGGCGGAACAACAAGGAATTCTGCAGAACTTTCACTGAGTTTCAACGAGAATTTGAATTGCAGTTCCTACCTCCTGGCTATTACAAGAATTTAGATAGAGAAATACAGGATAGGACTCAAGGAGAACGGGAGACCTGTCGCCAATACGTTGTTGCAATCGTCACTCTAATTCGTCGTCGAGGAGGATATACTGAGGAAGACAAATTGGAAAAGATTTATGGGAACTTAAAACCTGAATATAAGCTGTATATTCGCCGTCATGACGTCAAGACCGTCTCTGAACTAATCGCTCGAGCTGAGGAATTCGAGGCAGTACTTCGATGTAGAGCAACTTATCGACCACCTCCTGCTCCTGCTCAATCATTGACCCCTGAAACAGCGTATCAGTCCAAAGGAAGAAGAAGATCGGACGTACATGGAGCTATTTACCTCGAGGAACTCCTTCCAGTACCGAACATGGAGCCAAAGAATGCAAACTACCCTGGCAAAAGCATGGAATCAAGGAACACGGACTGCAGTGGTAGAAACGGAAAACAACCATTTGTGAGGTTTGCCGATGGTGGGCGAGACCATCACAAGCCCAACGTTTTCGGGCCAACGCATTCGAAGTACGGTCCAGGAAATACCTTGCTATCTGAGGATAGCAAGACACCGGCAAGGGAGTCATATTCAAATGAAACCATACCACCGAGAGTCTGCTGGAATTGTGATAAGCTTGGCCATCTGTTTCGTGACTGTAGAAACCCATGGAGAATTCGCTGTTTCTATTGCAAGAAAGATGGACAGCTAACTACCACTTGCCCATGTCGCTCGGGAAACGAAATGCCGACTCTGAGGAAGGGAAGCCAGTAGAGTCGGAGACAACCAGAGATACTTCCCCAGATTGGGAAAAGTGTTTACAATATGTAGAAAGCTTTCCCCTGAAAGCCACACCACCAACCCAAATTGTGGATGAACGGCCCTATGTTAATGTTGAAATCCATGGAAAAACCTTTACAGCGTTGATCGATACTGGGGCTATGTTAACTTTCATATCAGATGAAGTGGCGAGTCACTTAACTAGAAACTGTGTTAAGTTTACCAAACCGAACCTTAAAGTGCACCTGGCTAACAATAGCCAGGCAAAGGTTAAAGGAAGCTATCAGTTTGAAACTATTATAGGTCAAGCTAAGTATCTATTTGAAGCGATACACGTAACCAATCTCTCAACTCCAGTAATATTGGGGATGGACCTCCAGAAGAAGCTGAACCTGATCTCAGTCAACCTGCCTAAGGTTAATCAAGCCCTAAACATACAACCAGTCAAACCAAATCTGGCAGAAATAAGCACTCTTACCAACGCCGAAGAAGTTAACTTAAAAGCCTTTTTGGACGAAGAACTCTCAAAGTTTGATAGCGTCCCGGGTCAAACTAAAATTGTCCAACATGAAATTCGGTTAAAAACTAGACATCCTGTTAAGCAAAGATATTATCCACGTAACCCCACGATGCAAGGAATAATGAAAACTGAAGTCGATCAGATGCTGGAGGATGGGATTATTGAGCCCTCGTCCAGCCTGTGGAGCTCTCCGGTGGTTTTGGTGAAGAAACCTACTATTGATTTCCGCAAAGTAAATGAGTTGTCAATCAAAGACGCCTATCCTTTGCCTTACATTAGTGGGGTCCTGGACAAACTCAAAGAGGCAAATTTCATCTCTACAATCGACCTAAAGAATGGATATTGGCAAATCCCACTACATCCAGATAGTAGGCCAGTGACAGCATTTACGGTACCTGGTTTAGGCTTATATCAATTTAAAGTAATGCCGTTTGGCCTACATTCGGCTCCTGCCACCTTTCAGAGACTCCTGGATACAATTATTGGACCCGATTTGGAGCCTAAGGCTTTCGCCTATCTTGATGACATCATTGTTCTGGGAAATACTTTTGCCGAGCATCTAGAGCTCCTAAAGGAAGTGTTTCGAAGATTAAGGGCCGCAGGTCTTAAGTTAAACCCGGAGAAATGTCACTTTGGAAAAACTGAACTTCGATACTTAGGTCACATCGTCAACCGAAATGGAATCCAGACCGACCCGTCGAAAATTAAAGCTATGAAGGACTTCCCAACACCAAGAAAACCTAAGGACATCAAGAGTTTTTTGGGTTTAGTTTCATGGTATAGACGTTTTATTAAGGACTTCGCCAAAATCAGTGCCCCCCTTTCGGCCCTCTTAAAGAAATCAGCAAGGTGGGAGTGGAGCGAACGTCAACAGCACGCATTTGAACGGTTGAAAGAAGAGCTTACGAAAGCCCCAATACTGGCATGTCCCGACTTTAATGAGCAATTTGTTTTGCAAGTAGATGCCTCTGATTTTGGACTTGGAGCAGCGTTGACACAAAAACAGGGTGGTAAAGAAGTTACCATTGCTTTTGCGAGTCGCCTACTTTCCGATCAGGAGAAGAAGTTTAGTACCACCGAGAAAGAATGCTTAGCATTGGTATGGGGCATAAAAACCTTTCGTCCATACCTCGAAGGTTATCACTTCAAGGCTATCACGGATCACCAGGCACTAAAATGGCTGCTAACAATTAAAGAGCCATCAGGACGACTTGGACGATGGGTCTTGGAAATTCAGCAGTTCACCTTCGACGTAGTCTATCGGAAAGGTATCAACAATAAGCTAGCTGACGCACTTTCCCGAATCCCTGGGGAACCGAAACAGAACCTAGAACCGCTAAATGAAATGGTAGTAAGAAAAAATAACTCTAATCACGAGGTGGGGTCAGACCCCAAAGGAAATGTAAATATCCAAGGTAATATAGTGGATAAGTGGTATGACTCCTTGTCGAAAAAGATTGGGAAAGTACAGCTTGAGAACTACCGTATTCAGGACGGTAACATCTACAAACGAATCACACGCAAAGGAAAGCTTTGTGATCCCGCCACCCTATGGAAACTTTGTGTCCCAGGGAAAGATTGAGCTTCAGTGTTAGGAGAAACTCATGACGCACCCACAGCTGGTCATTTAGGCATCCGAAAGACCGTAGCCAGAGTAGGACAAAGTTATTTCTGGCCAGGTTGGAAGAAGGATGTACTGGAATATGTACGCAAGTGCCATATTTGCCAACTCCATAAGCCTGAACAAAAACCCGTCAGGGGTCAAATGTTTCTGCGGAACCCAGAAGGGCCATGGTATACCGTGGTTGCCGATCTTATGGGACCTTTTCCGAAGTCCTCTCATGGTTTCACCTTTTTGCTAGTGATCCAAGATTCTTTTACAAAATGGATTGAAATCATACCCCTCCGAAATGCTACAGCAAAGGAGGTCAAAGATAAATTTAAGGAAGCCATCATACATCGTTATGGAACACCGGCAGTCATTCTAACGGACAACGGAACCCAATTTACATCAAACATCTTTAGTCAATTCACAAAAGAATGGCAAATTACGCATAAGTTGACTGCACCCTATTCACCCCAATCAAATCCAACCGAAAGATGCAATCGAGTTCTCAAAACAATGATCAGGCAGTACATAGTGGATAACCACCGCCATTGGGACAAACACCTAGGAGAGTTTCGTCTCGCCATAAACTCTGCGGTGCATGACTCTACAGGTTACAGTCCGGCTTTCCTGAACTTCGGAAGAGAATTAAAATTACCCAATTCATTACTTCAAGTACAGTTCATCGAAGGAGAGGAGGCAACCCCGTCTAGACTGATTTGTGAGCGCAGCGAACGTTTCCGAGCCATCAATGAGTACGTAAGGCGGAATCTGAGTCAAGCTCACAAGAGACAAGCCAGTTACTACAACTTAAGAAGGCGACCAAACACATTGAAGGTAGGCCAACAGGTTCTGTGCCGACGTCACGACCTCTCCGACGCATCGAAAGGTTTCACTGCAAAACTAGCACCGAAGTTTGACGGTCCCTACACCATTGTAAAAGGATTGGGGGTAAATATTTTTCACCTCAAGTCGGACAGTGGACGCACCATTCGAGCCCATGTAAAGGACCTCAAACCTTACCTGTCATAACTCCTCCACCTTTGTCTCCCCTGCTCTAGCACAAACAACCAAACAACACTAGCAAATTTTAAGTTTAACAAAAAACAAATCAATCTCGTACTGAAAATTAATATTTTTTTTATTTTCAGGTAGACACTTCTTTTTGGGACACACAATAATGGAACCACTAACCAATGCAGATTTGGGAACTTTGACAGAGGGAAAAGACTTAAATGACGGAGTGATAAACCATTTTTTCCATCTACTCCAGCGCCGTGGTCAAGAGAATGACGAGAAAAAGAAAGTGATGTCCTTCCCGACCCATTTTTTTGTGCGGTGAGACCGAGAAAATGCGGGGTATGAAGGTGTGGCATCGTGGGTAAAAGAAAATCCAATGATTAAGGACATTTTGTTCTTCCCAATACACGTGGATGTAGGGAACGGGCATTGGGCCCTGATAGTGGCACGGCCACAGCACCGAGACATCGTATCATTCGACTCTTTGGTGTTAGAGCATAACCGGAGGATGGAGCAAGTAAAAGAGTTCCTCGAGAAGGACACCCGAAAACGAAAAAGGAAAGGTTCAAAAAATCTTGGTCTACGTTGAACATGCTCACCGCTTGTCCGCAACAAAAAAATACCCATGATTGTGGCGTTTTCGTCTGCCTTTTTGCTGATCTGCTGATGAGGGAACAATCCTTAAAAACCTTACAGACCTTGACTTCCCGAGAATTGCGAGAAATTCTAAAAATAAAAATTAAATGGATGGGGCTAAACCAAAAGAAGCTTCCACAAAAGAAGAAGCAACAACCACGAGTCGTAGCTAAGTAACCAATCACCAAGGGACCACTGTTTGACAAGTGGGTGAAAAGACCGAGTAACCAGAAGTCACCAATCGTAGGCAGCAACCGAGAGGGAATGTTTTTAGTTGAAGAAGCAACCGTCGAGGCGTTGGACGCTACCAAGTTTTTGGAAATCGTGTTAAGTCCCGTATTAGAAATCGCCGCATCACCCGACCTGCTAATGGAGGAGATGAACGAGTATCTGGCGGACGAAGAAATTGATGACGGCCTTTTTCCCCAACCCCCGTCAAGACCGTCCTCTGTGTCAGAAATGATGTCACGGATGGGAATATGTTCACCCCACATTTCCCCTCCCGTCAGATGTGACAGCGCCCCGGCAGTTTCAAGTGGCCCCATCAGTGTGGGAAAATCAACTCCTGAGGAACAAGAAAATCCCGCCGTCTTTTTGGAAAGACCAAAACCCGAAACGACCAACATTGTAGATTCAAAAATAGACATTGGGCCCGCAACCGGGAACACTCGGCAGCAACCCCGGAAGAGAGGCCGAACCCTCAGGCAGAGAGTCTTTGTAAATGGGAGATTCATCCGAAAAAATAAAAGAAAAATTCAAGCTCTCGTTAGGAACCCCGATTTCGACTGGGACTCCCTACAGAAGTAAATTGACGTTCAAATGAGCGAAATTGGTATTTCTAAGACTGATTAAACGAAAAGACTGAATTTTATAAAGTACTCGTAGTTTTAGGTTTTTTAAAAAGGTTCCTTCTTGTGTTAATGAAAAGTCTGTGAATTTGTAATTTTGTTTTCGCTTAGCAACGGTGATATAGGTTTTGTGATAAAAAAAAATTAGTATTAAGTTTTAAACGAAAATGTCTGTTTAGTTAAGAAAAGTCAAAGGTTTTGTTTTCGTAAAACCGAAAGGTATTTGTATAGATATTTAGATTTAGGTTTTCTTTAAAGTTGATTGTTTTTTTTATCTTTGTGATACCAGGTTGTGATTTTTTCGTTTGTTATTCTCTTTTAGAATAGAAATTTTGTACGAGTTTTTAGTTTTGTTAAGAAAGGGAAAATTGTTGTTGTTTGGAAAAAATAAAATCGTTATTTTGTTTTAAATTGTTTTGTTTTTCTTTTCGTGAAGAAAGTGGTGAGTGGTGCATCGGCCGGGAAATCCAGAAAAAATCGAATTTTGAGATTTTATAATAATTCAAGTTTGTATGTTTAACTTTAATTATTTCTGGTGGTTGATATTGATATATATTATTACTATCGTGGCATGTGCAAGTGTAATATTACAGTTGTTGTGAACTTTATTGAATATGTTTTCACTTCATTGATTTTCCTTTTGATCTGACTGTTATATTTTTTCTAAACTACTGTGTTTTGTTTTACCACATGTTAAATATTTTGTATTGAATTAATTTAATTGTTTGAAGATTCAGTTAAGACTTTGGAATAAATAAAGAAGCCTACTAATCTGTTTGTGAAATAATTATTTTATCATTTCTGGTAATTATTTCAAGATTCAAAACATTTTGGCGACCGTGACAGGACATTTTCTTTAATTTAAGACATCTGGGTTATTTAATAGTTATAATAATATGGAAAGCCTAGAAAATATGAAAAAGAAAAGATCACAGATTAGAAGGCTATTCACCAAGGTTTATAATGAACTGGAAGAAGCATTTAATAATGAAGACCTGTCAATGAATGATAAAGAAACTCAAATAAAAGTAAACTTTTCTCAAATTGAAGATAAAATAACAGCATTAATGGCAATGGATGGAAAAATCTCTGATGAAATGCTGATGAAAGATGCTTCTGATGCTGATCTGGACAATGAACTGGACACACAAGAAGAATACAAGAAGAAATGGTACCTGATGAAGGCTAAGTATGAAATGTTTCTTAAAACACCTACCAACAATGGTGAGTCAAACATTTACAGACCAAACCGTAACTTTCATTTGCCTAAATTGCAATTACCTTCATTTGATGGGGATGTTAGGAATTGGATTGGGTTTTGGGGTCAGTACAAAAAGATTCATGAAGATAGTGAAATTAAACCTGAAGACAAATTTCAATATTTAATTCAATCCTTGAAACCTGGTTCATCAGCTAGGGAATTAATAGATTCTTTTCCTCCTTCTGGTGAAAATTACATCAAGGCTATTGAACAATTGAAATCCAGGTTTGCACGTGATGAACTTTTGATTGAAGTTTATGTAAGAGAATTACTAAATTTAGTTTTGAAACAAGCCAACAAACAAAGTATCATGCCACTTTCAACCCTTTCTGATAAACTCGAGACCCAACTTCGTGCCCTAGAAACACTCAGGGTCACATCAGATAAGTATGCTGCCATGCTATACCCACTGGTTGAATCTGCTCTACCAACTGATACTCTCAGAGCATGGGAGCGGTACAGAACAACGAATAAAATAGGCTTAGGTGAATTTAAAGGTAACGAGTCATCTAATTCAAATTATTTACAGCTGTTGTTGAATTTTGTACGTTCCGAGGTCGAAAGCGAAGAACGTTTAGCTCTTGCTCGGAACAGCTTTGCAGTCGACAGAGACATTACACCAAGTGACCAGCCACAGAAGAGATCTTACCGTAACCAACGTCCTGGTATGAAAAGTGAGTTTGAGAAAGGACTTCCTTTACCTACAGCATCTACAATAATTGCTACAGACAGCTCTTCAGTGGTGAGTAAGCCTACATGCTTATTTTGTAATAAAGGAAATCACAACACCCAAGACTGTTCTGGGTTACAAAAGCTCACTTTGAAAGAAAAGAGAGTGTTTGTGACAAAAAAAGGGAGCTTGTTTCTCATGTTTAAAGTTAGGTCACAGCAGTAATAAGTGTAAAGTGTTTGTATCCTGTGCTATCTGTAAAAGGAAACACTACTGCTTAATGTGTCCTAGTTTAGAGAAAATGGTGCACAGTAATACTCATGAAAATGACTCTAACAAATCAAATGTCATTGAAAGTGTTCAAATTAATGACAAATCTGAGTCCTTGATTGCAAATCAAAATAAGGAAACCTTATTACAAACTCTTCTAGTAAAAGTAATAGGACCTGACCAGCAATCTTTACTAGTAAGAGCATTGTTGGATTCTGGATCTCAAAGGTCTTATATCTCAAAAGACTGTGTAGAGAAACTTAAATTAATAGAATCCGGTGAGGAATTCATAGTTCATGGTTTGTTTGGAGGTATTAAAACTAAAGAGACTCCACATAATCTTTACCAAGTAGAGTTACGTGACACAAAGGGTAAATTTGGCATTTCAGTTAATGTGATCAAGACAAGATTTGCAATTACATACCCAGATTAGATACAAAAAGGTATTTTCCTATTTTAAAGAAGAAGAGTATATCCCTTTCAGATATTGGACAAGATGCAGCAGAAGAAATACAGTTACTACTAGGAGCTGATATCTTGGGCCAACTTCTCACAGGTAAAATTGAACAGCTAGATCAAACTCTGGTTGCTGTTCAGACTGTGTTAGGATGGACAGTAATGGGACAATGTGGAAAAAGTTACCAGTCACTTATTAGCATTAGCTGCTTTGCTAAAATGGACATTTCAGATCTATGGCGTTTAGATGTTTTGGGCATCACTGATCCATCAGGTAGTAAAACAAAGGAGGCGAATGCATCAGATGTCTTGGAGCATTTTAACAAAACTATTGTAGTAAATAGTGAAAATAGGTACGAGGTGACTCTTCCATGGATTGAAGGCCATCCAGAGCTTATGGACAACAAAGTTACAGCTGAGAAGCGACTACATGCAGCGACCAAGAAGTTGATTAAGTTAGAAAAGTTCAATGAGTATGATCAGGTATTTTCAGAGTGGTTGAATTCAAACATTATTGAAAGGGTTGTTGAGTCCTCTGTAACTGATAGACCTTTACACTACTTACCTCATCACGCTGTGGTCAAAGAATCCAGTTTGACTACTAAGGTTCGACCAGTCTTTGATGCTTCTGTAGTTGATAGTAGAGGGAATTCACTTAACTCTTGTTTGGAAAAGGGACCTAATTTAATAGAACTAATTCCAGCTCTTCTAATGAAGTTTAGAAAACACCCAATAGGCGTTATTTCAGATATTAAGGAAGCTTTCTTGCAAAGTTCAACAAAAAGTGACCGAGACGCTTTAAGATTTTTGTGGTGGGAGCGACTTATTGGAGTGGTAAAGGAAATTTTACGACGAAACTTGGGAAATTCTT